TCAAAAAAAAACGTGAATTTACCCGCAGAAAATAAATCAGATAAGCTGTCGGTTGAAGGCAAGCGTCCAGGCACATCTGGACATTTGGGGCTCTCACGTGGACAGTAACTCTGGGACCCTAACTAGACACTGCCCAACCGGCAGGTGGTGTTCTAACAATTGAGATATTCACCTCCAAACTGGACCCCAGAATTGCTTTCGCATGGATTCACGGCGCGACACATCAGTTTCGCGCGAGGACCCGGTCGAAACTCATGCGAGATACGATCCTGGGTTCTACTTTGGAGTCAAATATCTCAGCCGTTAGACCACCATCGAGCTGCCGGTTAAGCAGTGCCTTCGTTTAAAGCCCCACAATTACTGTCCACGTGGAAGCCTCATATGTCTAGATTTGCTTGGACGCTGCCTCTACGAAGTAATTCAACGGAAGCTTTCCAAATCACATGAAAAGTCCAACCAAAAAGTTGGGTAGCGCAAACCGACTACTTGAGAGGGACAAGAATCTTTTGGAGCCAATGAAAGTTATAGCCAAACGCGACCGAGACAACTGCAAAATTTAGAAAGAAATGCTGTAGAAGGTAACACAACACAATGTCCCACCTGATCATGCGGTCTTTCTTGGCTCCTAGTGGACGGATGCTGCTGCCCTTCAAAGTCTTAGTTGGATCTTCAGGACCGACCTAAATAGTAATTAATCTTGACTTTGTTATAAAATAAGTGGCAAGCGTTTCTTGGCTTCATCTCCGAAGGTGGAAACAATAAACCGAACCTCAAAGGCTTCCAGAGCACCGGCTCGTTGTCCACTGTTACGAGTGCGCACATAGAACGCTACGCGCTCTCCCTCCTCCAGACTACGAAAACCTTCCATTTGCAACTCCGACTAGGACGTAATAGAATAATTTTAGTCATGCATATAAGGATGAAAGTTACCTGATGAACAAAAACGTCCTCATTCGTGCCATCAAGAACGATGAAACCAAAGCCTTTCAGTACGTTGAACCACTTACATGATCCAGTTTTGCGATCCTAAATGAGATCAGCAATGAAAATTTATGTCTCGATTGTCGGCAGTTCGGACATCGCTGACTTCGCATTTTATGCAGAATATTGATAAATAGATAAATAAACAAATGAATAAACAAATGATATGTCTTATTATAAACTCACAGATCTCTGTCCATTCTGCTCCTCAGGTTGCTCGTTACCGTTGTCGATACTTTCTGGTGGTTCCGTTTTCACTTCGTCTACTTGCTCTTGCTTTGGTGGTTGGTTCACATCGTCCTGTGTTCCTGACGCAGTCATAGCTGGAGGAGGTTGCGCACAATAATCTTAGCTGAAATGAACCGTTATGAAGGGAATCAAAAAAGATCAATAGATTGAGGTAATAGAGCGGATATCATCAACTTTGAAAATAAGAGGGCATATAATCACATCGAGCAAGAGCAAACTGATAAGCGCTTGCCCTTTGAAAGAAGCAACAGGCATCTGCAAACACTTTCTGCGCGGTCAAGATTACTATGGTAAAAATCTGTGGCCATTTTTTCCAAGAAAGCTTATTTCGTGTATCCCGCGTAACTTCGCATAGGTATGACAGCAAGACAGCCGTTGTTATCTGACGCGTTGGTTCAGAAACAGTGGAAAAAAGACTAATGGCAGCCTGAAATCTCAAAACGATAGGATCTAGACCAAGTCCAGAGTTGCTCTTGTGCCGGCGCTGTGCCAACGGCGTACCGGAATCAACGTGGATCCACCCCAATAAACGTTTGGTACGTCGTTGGTAGCAAAATAATTTGTGCACTGGAACTGACAACTCCGAAGGCAATGGAAATCACTGTTTTAGGACTGTACAATTGTTCCTCAATCCAAATTCCAAAACATCTAAAATAGGGGACGGCAAAGGGGG